TACTTTTCTTTTTTTTTTTTTAGCCATCCTATTTGTTAAAAAAAAAAATTGTATGACTTTTTATAACTGTTTATTGTTGTCGCTGTTGTCCATTGTTGTCATCATTCTTTGTTGAAATCAGGTCTCTCTTGTAAATAAGTCCTCGAGGCTCAATGGGATTTATCTGTCTAAATAAAGGTTGAATGAATTAAAGCTCTTTGTTACATAACCATTTATTAAAGACAAATTAAGCAGATCCAAGACGTGGTTATTATTAATTAAGGGAAATACATCTTTAAACAGTCTGGTTGGGATGGGATCTAGAAGACATGTGGATGGTTTGGGTGAAGCTATTGTTTTTGAAAATTCATAGAGCTCAACAGGACAAAAACAGTCCAATCATAAATCAGATTCTAGTGACATTTTTAAAGTTGTCTCATCTGACACAGAACCAGAGGTGATACTAGGAATGTTGGTTTGAATTTGAAGTTTTTGAAGTTTAAATGATGATGTGAGAGGAGGAACATCTGGGGTGATTTTAATTAGAATAAGCTGTGGATGATGACACAGAAAACAGAGAGGTGCAGGAAGACAGAAACAGAACAGAACTGTGTCATATGATTGATTGTTTTGGATGGGTGTGTTTTGCATGTGTTTAAAGCCTACTTTTGAGATTCCAACAGGAGGTTGGTTTGAAACACAGCAGTGAAGGCTACCTATGGGACAGATCTGGTTGGCAGGCCAAAGACTCAGGAAGTCCTCTGGATGGGGGACAAAACATTTCTCACTTAAAGAAACTGATTCAGATGACATGATTTTAACCATTTTTGTTATTAGTTTGTGAAAACACACAGACAGACTTAATTTTAGAAGACGTCCTGTGGTCTGACTCCTTACATTTCAAATGAAGATGCTTGCAGGCCTGAGCCTGACTGCAGATGGAAATGACCTAGAAAGCTATAATCTGCTCTGTGGCATCTCTCCTCTGTGTCATGTTTAGTCTGGAGAAGTCTGAAGATGTCAACCAGGAAGTTAAATTTGGAGTGGACAACGATCCTTATCCTACGGCTAGATTAGTTACAAAGGGACTAAACCCTCCTGCTGCCCTTGTATCAGAATGACCCACAAGGACTCAGTTTTAAAATTTAATAATGGCAAAACCGTTTTTAAACCAGGGCAGAGGGTTAAAGGCAACAAAGTGAATGTTTTGGCGAGGCCATCACAAAACCTGGACTTCAGTCCACAGGAAGCCTGTTGACAGAACGGAAAGGGCTGGAGTGGGACTCATTTCTACTTCTGGAGTTTCATGCCTCAGACTGGCACACTTTAAATCACAACCTATTAATATTAAAATCATGTAATTATAACCTTAGCTGTGTCTGTTTCCAGAGCTTCCTCTTTATAATTCTAGTATTCTCTCACCCACACAGACCAGTCTTTGCAGTTTGACTCCCATCACCCTTTGGAGCACAAGTTAGGAGTCATCAGGACTCTGTA